TGACAAAAAGGGCAAATCATTGTTTTCCTCTGTGACCCTGTAAAAATTTTCAGCAGCAAGCAGAACACAAGAGGTGAACAGCAGTTCAAGTTGATCAGCTTGCACATCGGAAAGTGAGCATCTGAAGTGAGCAGTTAAACTTACTGCATTCAGGAAGGACTTTCATTTTGCAGCCAATCAGCAGCTGGCTTAAGAAAGTTTTCCACATCGAAAATTAATCAAGATGAAAATGCAAGGAACTGAGCTCCAGCACATGAACCTCCATTAAGGGATTCTGGTGACATCAGAAAGCCTGAAAACAAAAACTCAGGTAAGCACCAGAATGCCTCAGATGCAATTCTAACCATGGGATTCAAAAGGTGCTTATTTTACATTTTAACAAAATACATGATCAACGGTACACAATGGGCAATAAAAATCCAGTTGAGAAAAAAAATCTAATGGGGAAAACAGACATTTAACATTTTCTTCTACCTTACTTCAATATGTACAGAACAAATATAAATCAAATTCTCATTTCTTCTGTATTTCTGTTCTCCTGCTGTTTTATAAACTTCTCCTTCTCCTCATTTGCTATGACATTTTGGCAATTGAAAATTATTTACAGTGTAGAGAAGACGATAGGGGGGTAGGGGGAGCAGAAATCACTCGCAGGCCTGGTTTTTGCTGCCTTTAAATATGCTCAAGAGATTTCTGGTTTTTAAGGGCAAAGTAGTATATTTTTCAGTTAGTAAGAAAGTTTGGACTATATTGTAACTCGTGCAAGCTATACATCTGAAGGGAACATATCTGATTACATGTATGGCTGGACCATTTCTGACAAATATGAACCATACAACTTAATCTGAGTGGCTGTAATGCCCCACATGAAGTCTGTGGCCATCATCTTGACTGACCTAGTAATTTTTTTTGACATAAACTGATAATGATGCACTACCTTGCAGAGAAAATAAGGAGTGGATCGCAGTTTTCTGAAGTACATGTTAGGGAAGATAAATAGGCAATGAACCATTGTAAAACAAGTGCCACAATAAGGAAAGAAGACAAAAGGAATTACTAACACTGAATTTCTTGACAGCTTAAAGTGGTTGATAATGCTTAAAATTAGTTCTGCACCATGAGCAGAAATTAATCAAATATTCTGACTATTCCCTGCAAGATAAACAGTACTGCATGACCTGCTACTGCAAAGAAGGAAAAGAAATAAGAACCATGCATTATATTTCTTCAGTATCCACACTATTTCTCCAGACTCAAGTAAGGAAGTATATCTATTTGCTTCAATATTGGTAAAACTCAAAGATACTTTCTACAAATTCACCCACAAATACACACTTGCATCCTACTTCCAGTGGACATTATACATTATTTTCTTAGATGAAAAGCAGCAAATAGTAAGCAAGTAGTATGCTTAAGAAACCAAACTGCAAACACCGGGTGTGCTGATAAGAGGATTATTTTGTCATATTACTTGTAGGTAACAAGAATCTTTAGTGAATAAGTAAGAGAAGGAAAACACTTGCTGTGCAATGTGTTTAGATGTCAAGTATATTGAAATGTAAGATAAGGAAAAAGACCAGAAGACAAATTGTACATTTAAGAATATAGTAGGGTTTTTTGATTTCTTTTTTTTTTAAGGTTACTATAACAGATAACACAGGGAAGACATACTCCAGCCAGCACCTGTAGAAGTAGTTGTCAGAAGCCAAGAGACTGCAAAGCAGCACAAAGACACACCGTTTTTAGTTCACAGAAACTGAAGCAGCCAGACTAATTTGCGTGTGCTAAAATAGCGCGTGTTCCTGCTAGCAGAGCTGTGCCATGTATAGACAGGCTAATACAAATGTATGAGAACAACATAAATATAGTTTGAAAAAGCACTTCGTCAGGCACAGCCTGAATGAGGGCTTAAATTACAAATGGGCCCATACACGACAAGAAATTACAGAATGGGTATTTTTACTTTCTGATGAATAGCCGTACATACACAGTAACAATAAGTTCCCTTCAAAGTACAAAGTAGATAAAGTCCTAACTACAGATGGATCCAGAACAGAATTCCAAGTCTGAACAGCTGGAAGCATTACGGAAGTTCAAATCTCAAATTGAACCAAACCAACATCCCAGCTCTGAGCACATTATGAGCTAATTTCAGATTTACAGAGTTAAACTTTAGCAAAGGCCAGCAAAATTTAGCACCTCATCTTCTAAAGGATTAAAGTCAGTGCCATATTCTGCACACACATGAACTAGTTTTCAAACCTTAGTAGGTTCCTTTCTATTAGGTCACGTCTTTCATTTCCCTTCCTAGTCTTCTCTGAAGTTCTTCTTTCCTACAACTGCTTTTGATATTTTACATTTCTCTTCTCCTTCCTGGATGCACAGGATTGCTTTTTTGATTAAGCCAATTTATTAGCATGCCACTTCACATGGTCTCCTTCCTATTATGTCACGTTCCTGCTTTTATTTTGAAATGGTTGAAATGCTTTGATTTAGTCTCAGATCATGTGCTGACATGAGCATCTTTAAAAACTCTCCTGGAGAGAAGTCAGGATTTCTCTGGTTTTGTGAAGTAATAACTGCCAAGAGGTAAAAAGAACACAAAGCAAAAATCTCCAAGCATCCCGTTTCAAGGGAGTGTTTCGGAATTATACTGAATAAGATGAATGACCTGAAGTTCAGAAAACATACTGAGCACTAAAGGCTAAAAAATTGCATTAAAGACTAAAAAATTACACTATATAGAGTGTGAAAAACTTACAAAAAGAGAAGGGAAGAAAAAGCCCCATCAGACTGAAACAGTCATAAAACATAAAACTATTATGAACTCAGTAAGGAAAGAAAAGAGTATCTGTGCTTTTGAGCTGCATCGATGTATATGAATTAAATAAAACCCTGAGCAACAAGATACTAGGACTATCTACCTAGCCTTCAGAGGAGGGAAAAAAAAAAAAAAACAAAACAAACAAAAAACCCAACACCCTGAAAATATTTAAAGGGAGAAAAAAAGAAGCTACCTTTCCCCTTCGCAATCCTTCCCCCCTCCTTTTTTGATTTTTCTTAAAGTTGTGTGTTTAACTTTTTTTAGACTTTTTTTTTTGTTGTTAATCTCTTCAGACAGTTTCCCAGGATGCACAGCAGTTAAAGAAACACCTTTATTTCCCCAGCCTATTCTTCTCTGCCTAAACCATCACTGCCTCAGTAAACACTTTAAATCAAACAACTAACCAATAACATGTGCTGCTCATTAGCAGTGCCTTAAGCTCACCTGTATTGTTCTGTTTCTTTAAAAGGGCAGCATTCAAAGCACCCTTCACCCTAAGAAGCATTTTATTTGAGTTGTTATTGCTGTAAGCAGGAACCCAGCTGAAGGAAGTGTTTATTTTTTTAAGGCCATCTATGAAGTTTAAAAGCATTCTTTTAAAGAAAAGGCCCAAATAAAGAAAACTATGAACGTGAACAAGTGAAGAAAGAAAACAAAGATATTTGATGGCTGAGAAAATTCAATAATGTAATCTTAATACCTTACAGAAAACACTCTAATTATTCTCTAATGTTACCAATCTTCATCTTTAGAGGAAGAAGAAACTTTAGAGAAAAAACAAAAAATCACCTTATTTCTGTGCTTCAATGTCAATACCGATTTGTAATGTGTATCTAAAATTGTCTTAAGTCAGGTCACTTCAGTTTTAAATACTCTCAGCAAAATTAAACCACACACTTTGCTACTTTGTGCTTAAGTCAAAGAAAGCATGAACTGTATCTCTTCTTCAGAGGCTCAATGCACCATTAGAGTTTAAGGACTACTGTCCCTTCAAACACTTGAACCTGCTGCAACCAGAACACTGACATAAGCAGATGCACTGTAGAAAGAAACACTGCTATGAGAAATGAGATCCAATTCAAGCTTTTCCTTAGTCATGCTAACAGAATCTGTCTCCAAACACTAATCCATCTAGCACTTGTGCTTTTTGCTAAATTCCTAGCCTACAGGTATATGCTTGTAAGACAATCTGGCTGCATGAATGTGACTGAACTGGTGGTTTCTTCTTATCCATTCTTAAAAATTTATTTTAAACAAACCAATATTGCGAAAAGCCCATATGTTGATGCTCTTACAGTTGGGGTTAACTTTCTATTAGAAGACACCTTTCGTAATGTTGTTTGTGGGGTAAATCTGAAACCCCACAAGTCTCATTTGAGATAAGAACCACTATGTAAAGATCTTTACTTGCATGTTTAGTTGAGTATGTCTTTGGGCAAAGCATTTTCTTCCTTTGAGGCTTCTTTCTAAACAGAGGAAAAAGAATACTTTTGTCCTCCAAGAAGGTACTGTGAGGATGAGATAATTATTTAAGGTGTTCTCATTCTGATGTGATGAGAGGAACAGAGAAAGGACTACAAATGTAAGCAAATAAGCTATGTTGATCTGGGGCAGATGAACAGATTCTGCATTTATACACAGAATCAACGAAACAAATTGCAAACAGCATATGCAATCTCAAAAATAATCTGTAAATTGAACAAAAATGTTTAAACAGTGCTGTAAGCAATCTCAGCCTTGTGTAAACACTGTGATACTCTCTTATTTAAAAGGAATGTATATGCTTAACAGACAATCATAACCCAAACAAAGCCATCAGGCACAAAATTGGAGCAGGAAGGCCTGCAACACTGTAGGCCCAGTCCATATGCATTGATGTTAGTAGGAATCCTTCTGACTGCCCATGTGGAAGACCACTGTTTACAACAGGTCAAAGCAAATCCAGTGCACAAACGCCATCAAAGCTCTGAGGCAGGGCTGGAGGGTACCTTGATTTTGGCTTAGCCATAAGTGCTGTAGTGCTGTGCTGATCATACTCCAGTTATAATTTTTTTAGTCACCTATAAATCAGAAGATCTTTTTCCCCCTCTTTTTTTTTTTTTTTTTTTACTCTGTGCAAATTACATTTGCATTATTACATTCACTGCTGCTATTTCACATTGTTAGCAAAACCTACCAGTCAGATATTCCAGTACAGCAGCCATGTACACTGGAGCACCAACACCAATTCTGTACTTCGGGTGGCCTTTCTTAATGTAACGTAGCATTCTTCCAACAGGGAATATGACCCCAGCCTTTGCGGAACGGGAAGTCTTGGTTGACTTCTTCTTTCCACCCCTGCTGGACATTTTGTCTGTACTGGGTCTGGAACAGCACTCTATATATTAGGGAAGAAGGAAGGAAAAAAAAAAAAAAATAATAAAATGTTATCAATAAGAACTGATGCTGTAATACCATATACTGAATTTAAAGATCAGTATTTTGGGGTAGGCAATGCATTAAAGCATCTAAAACACACAGCCAAGTTGCCTTTTTAGAGTATATACAACAAGAACCTAAAATAATTTTATACAGAATGTTTACTTGCCATTGTAATCTTGACATAATTTTAGACAGTAAATGTATAAGACAGAAAAATTATTTCATTTAAATCTTCTTTGGAATTACTTTTATGAAATTCCTAACAGATTAGCCCCAGTACCATTAATGGAGCTAAGTGTGATAACTACCCAAGGTAAAAAAGTTTCTGCATTAAAGCAGAGGAAGGTTTCTGCAAGGAGCCCGACACAACCCTTTGCTCCTTCATTGAGCATTTAACACCTGTGTTAAAACTGTTACATACAGGAGTTACTATATTGCCAAGTAGGAAAAACTGTATCCACTAAAGGTGTCATAAAGGGTATTCACCTTCCTTAAAGAAGGAGATTTTCAAGCATGTGTCAATTTACAAAACAAAGGCCTATGCATGGAAAAATACTTCTCCTGTACACTAAATGTTCTATTTTTAGAAAGATCTGAAATGAACTCCTTGAGATTTGAACCTAACAGAAACCAGCTATCTCCACATCAAAGTCTCTACTGCTTCCACATACCCTCTAGGAATCTGATGAGCTTCCATCTGCCACCTTTCCTTAACATAACAGTGGGTCTAAACACCCAGCAGATATCTGACAAGTGTATCTCAGTTTGTGTTGGTGAAGAAACCTACTGCTGATACCACTGTCAAACATATTTTTTTCTCTTTGATTTCTGCTCAGACTGTAAATAGAAACTGACAAATCCAAAGAGGCGGAGAGTTTGCAGGCTCTCAAGGTAGCTTTGAAGGTTTAGGCAATGCACTGGGTTTTGAAATGAATTCAGAGGAAAGCAGGCTGTCCCCATCTTGCCCTCCCTCCCTCCTGCGTGTCTGAACTCTAGGGAAACCAGCTGTATGCATCAGCGATACACATACCTCTGTACATCCTAGTTCTTTCCTTGCTGTGCAAATCCTACCTAATACAAATGCAAATTCACTGCTGTGTTTCTCTACTCCACAATGAAACCCCTCTAAGCCCTCTTTCCCATCACACCAGTTGTCTGCTTGTCTTTTTGTTTTCCTCTCATTTATTCTGAATTCTGTCCTTGTCCTTATGAACCTAACTGTATTTGCCACATGTCTGAATCCACAACGATTGAGCGAGCTCAGCATTAGGCAAAACAGGTTCACCAACCCCACTTCTAAGTTTTGCAACTTCTGTTCTGTGCTGACATGTCCTGCAGGTCTTTTAGATCTCAAGGAGTCACTGAGATTCAGGCTACAGAACTGTGAAATGAAACCCACTCAGGATAACTAAAGAAACGTGAGTATCAAGCATTTCTTTTCCTTTCCATTTCCACACTCCATTCATTAAGAGTCTATACTTGCATAGCACATTTAAGTAAAATAAATGCAACTGCCTTACTGCTTGCTAAAAGTAAATAAAACAATCCCATTTTATTAGCTCAGATGATGCTGCACTACATTTGTGTCACACTGCATTTATGAAACTGATGTAGAAAAACAGACAGAAAACTTTGGAAGGGGGAAGCCATCAAAAGGGCTCCTTCTCCTTTCCTCTGCTGTGAACTCAGCTCTGTAACAACTATTATTCTGTGAGGAGGAGGACAAAAGCCAATATTCTTGCACTGAGAAATTGCCTAACCAAAGCTCACAACTGATTTAAAAAACCTTCTGGTTAACTGCATTTTCTCATCTAGTTAGCTCTGTCTTTGTTAGCAGGAAGGCTGGGTGTGGCTTCGAGTTGGCTGTGGACTTTTCAGCCACAAGTAATTTTCATAGTTCCTAGTCCATTCCCACCAATACTACAGATGTTTAATCTCACAAATGTTGAGAAGTTCATGGAATCAAACACCAGGCAAATCAGGAATGAGAAATAGCTGGGCTTCTAGCTTCCCTCATAATTCCTTTGGTTTGTAACTAATAGGTGAATGATGAAAAACACAATTTTTCTAGGGAAAACCTGCATGCCTTAAACGGGAAACTTCTATTAATCATTTGTCTTATGAGTTTATGAGATAGTCAGAATAGCTGGAAGATAATATGGAAATCCTTACTTCCTGGTGTTGGGTTTTTTTCTTTGGAAAAGTGTCATCTAGCCATCAGCTGCATTTGGATCAAAGCATGAGTAAAGTATGTGGCAATACAGAATTACTGCCAAAGAGGCTTTGAAGGGGCGGGAGTAAATACAGCTCACCCAATCTAAAAATCCAAATGGAAGACACACATGGATGGCCACGCTCTAACTGGTAACAAAAAGAGATGAAAAAGCACTGCCCTTTTCACTTTCAGTTCCAAGAAAATGGCTATTCATAGAGAAGGGAAGTGGTTTCTTCATATGTTGAAACAAATATGTAGTGTATATCACTGTCTCTGGATACTTATCAGCTATCCAAAGCGATACTAAGTTTGTTGTTAACATACTGTCAGTTGTCATAGGTCACACTCAACCACCCTCCTCTATAACACCCTTGAGCAAAACACTTTGCTGTTAGGTTCCAACCTCTTTCATCTGGCGTTCAGAAGATGTTCTTCACTTTAACATACTATTTTCTACTTAATATCTCCAAGCCTCCTGTCATCTGGAGCTAACACCTACCCATATATAAAATGGTATATTTTTTTTTCTTTCATAATAAGCTTATTTTATCCCTTCTGCAAACACTATAAGTTAATTTCCCCTTTTATTTTATACTTGCGGTGACACTTCTCTCGTTAATATTTAGGATATTTCTGGACCTATCTTGACAATTAACCTGATCCTCTCATACTGTACGTTAAAGAGCTTTCTAGCTGTAAGTTTATTTGTAAGGAAAAACTTTGTCTGAATCAGAAAGGTGGGGGACTTGCATACTGAAAAATGCAAAAACTTCTGGAACTTTTAATATTAAAGGTGAAATGCAATAAAGATGAGTTTCAGAGTTTCTTGTCTCAAGGATCCCACTCCTACAACATGTAGTGAATCACTGTATCTTTAGATGTTGGGGGTGGAGGGAGGAAAATTCCAATTAAGTTTCAAGTAACACTTTTAATTTTGCCAGCCATGTAATATGGAAAGGGAAAGAGCAAGCCTGGCATGGAAGACCTTTTCTGGGCTTAATTACAGATTCAGGATCATTACTTTGAAGAACCTGTTTGTCCTGCCTTTGAGCCAAGGGATGGCCCAAGAAGCTCTCAAGTCTTCTCTAGTTCTAGTTCTCCACAGCAAAAGAAAAGGGAAAGAGAAGATGCTTCAATTGGAACTGTCACCAAAAAAAATTACTGAAGTTAAATGTAAAGAGCATGGCAACAGATCAAAAACTGAAAAAACTGGGTGCCTTACATGTTCTCAAATGGTTTATCTTTGTTAACACCAGAAACTCTGGAATGCTGCCAACATTAACGAACCAGAGCAGTTTGCTGAGTCACTGCTAACCAGCAGATGAAGGAGGCAACCAAAGGGAACTTTACCACATGTGCCATAACTCAGACATGATTTGAGCATGATAATTTACAATTAGGAGGGAGGGAAGGGGAAAAAAAAAAAAAATCCCAGTCAATGGACCAGTCCTTTTGCCAAATACATTGTGTCTTCAAAGATGTGACAACAAAGTCATTTTGTTTCAGTGTGACAGTTCACAAAATTACCACTCTGATCATCAGGGGAAAACACACAGGAGTCAACTTATCTATGTCCACATTTGACTTCAAGTCAGATTTAATGCTACATTCTTCAGTGGCTCTGCTGTGCTTGGACCCAGATTGCCCTACTTGCAAAACTTAGCACCTGATTCATAGTCTTTTGACAACCCCTTAAAAACTGCAGCAAGATTCATATGGCTTTCTAAGAGTTCAAAATTCACACAAATGAGAATATGATGGTATATTAATTTGGCTCACAGCAAAGATTCAAGACACAAGGTCCTCTCCTGTCATGTCTTTGTGAGCCAGAAATAAATTTTCTAAGAAACAAAATAATATTAAGGTGTAGCAATGGAATCAACATAATTTTTTTTTTTCTGTTTGAAATTGGCTGTAGTAACTCTGGTTGGCCATATTTTTCTATGTGAAGATAGATACTCCACTAAACCACACTTTCAAATACCATCTTCCTAAAATGCTCACAGGCATCTGTTTGTCTAAAAGGTTTAACCACATAATTCTGAAAGTACAGCCTGCACATCCTGGTAAAGCGATTCCTAATTTCCAAATACCAGTATTCATTAGCTCAGTCAATTTGACACTTTCATCAAACAGTAGTAATAACCCTCCCCTGCTACTAATAGTTTTCAGGTACTGGTTCTTAATGACTTAAATTACTACTATTGCTGCTGTGGTCAGGCAGGGACTGTTCTGATCATGGGTTTACACTGGTGTATTAACTGCACTCAGCAAACAGATGATTAAATTTAGATCTACATGATCACATCAGCAAGTGTAATGAAATCCAGAAGACCATTACTACAGTAAGAAAAATACTAAGATCTAGTAATTATTTTTCTCTTCTTTCCAGTATAAAGACTAAGCTGGGAAGTTCATTTTTGTATCATAAGAGATTAACTGCAATGCTATTTTTGTTCCATTGTTTCAAAAGATTAACAATGTAAGTGCTGCCATTCTCTCTTAAATCTATGTATGTACTATAATAATAGCTGCTCGCTGAACTCTTTTTGAAAAGGTGCATTTGAATTTGCTTTGACAACTAACTTGCTCTGTTCTTGGCTAATCAGAACCTAGTCTGGCATATTTATAAAATGTACTGCTTATAGAGTTGGTATAAAATGGTCTCTAATAATGCTTGCCTAGCACAACAGTGTCTCAGTCTGTGAATGTGGTTTCTAGGTACGACAGTTAATAAAAGAAGAGCTAATCACTCAGTTATTGTTCGATCTGATGTGATTTCAAATTTTAGCTTAACTGCTTTATCAAAGCACTTATCATTCTTTGTGGTCTGAAATGGACAGAGGAATGAAACTGGTTGTGAAACAGCTGTCCCAGCTCTACATTAATTCCTCATCTGAAAAGGCAGTACTATACATACACCTATTTTCACTTGGAAAACTGAGAGAATATCCCTCATCTAGGAATGCCTAATAGGTGTACTTTCTCCTGAAGATTAATAAGACTAAAATCCCCATAGTGATAATGTAAAGGATGGAAGAAGAAAAATATCATTTTCACAAAATCTGTGTGAAAAACGAAATACTGTTGCACAATTGTATTCCACTGGCAAAAGTTCCTCCCTCCCACAATGGGTCTGAAACCCTGAAACAAATATCCCCTTAATGCACAAACCCCCAGTATGAACAGTACTGGGAGTGTGACAAGAGTTTTAGCTGGGCATCCTGCCACCAATACTCAGGAAAACGTAAATACAATTGTCTACACTGACCACTGCTGGGAGTACTAGTATGAAATCAAGCCCATTTGTGCTTTTTGTATATTAGGTAGGAAGCATAAAATTTGATACAGGACCTTAAAATCACTGGACCATTTATGAATTCAATGTTCAGAAAAACTGTTTTAAAGAACATTTTGAAAACTTCTTTGCCCCTTGACGCTTTTGGAAGAAATCAAAAATGTAATAAAGAATTCATTGTGGATGCTTCCAAGGCAAAATCCAGATGTACAATGAAATTTAAGATAGACGCTATACCGCTGAGGGGAGGGACTGCAAGAACTTGACCCACTGAGGAAGCTATGAATGGTGTGATTCTAGCCATCACTCCTTTTGGATCAAGGACCACGAGCAGAATCCTGCCCATCCTCTCTTTAGGATGGTTGTGGGTAAGGAACTATAGCTTCTTTTGTGTTCATAGTGTCCTTCCCTAACAAGCAAACAAGCACTGCACTCTTTCCACAAAGACTGCATGTTTCTTTTCTGACTGTACCTCTATAAAGCATTGAGCTGACAAAACCTAATGCTCACTGCACTGCCCACTGGGTCGATATTCCCTCTCCCAAGGGAGGCTCTTTCTCTCTCTTGTGGCATCTGTTCCAGATTCCTGCTCCTTTATCCCTACTTTATAAACTTGCTGGGGCAGGACTACCTTTTATGCAGAACAGACAGCAGACCTTGGTTCTGGTTGACAGGATTGTACCAAAATACTTTGGAATTTCTTTGAGAGGACAGGATTTTGACCATTATTCCAGAGTGTGATTAAATCACCTATCTTAGCAAGAGAATATCTTTTATCAAAGCTCATTGCTGTGTATTGAAATTTTACCTGCAGAACCAGGCAACTCCGAAGGACAAATTTAAACATGCTGATTTTGCTGATTTCTTTTAAGACTAAGTTTGCAGTTGTGGACTTCTCCTTTTGCTAATGCTGATCTATAAAAAAAACCGTGCTTAAGCACTCTTCCAATATTACTGTCATTAGGCCAAGTTCTAGTTTTATTACTAGTTTTTTAGATCAGTTACAGCTTAATTTACACTGTCAACATTTGGTTTTACTGGCAATTAGAAGGTTATGTATTACACATAACGAAATAAAGTTATTCTTTAGGAACCCAGAAGGCCTAAAAGATTTCAGTGTGAAAGGTCATGATGCAAAACACAGACAAATAACCAGGAACCTTTAGTAAGTAAACAACAATGTAATTCCTTTCTTTCAGAACACTTAAATAACACACAAACAAAAAACCAAACACATTGGGTAGCTTTCTAGGGACCACTGGATATAAAATCTCTCATACCCAATTGCAATAAAATATATTTTTCAAAGCAACTGTAACTGCCTTGTTCCTACTAAAATCTTTTCACTCTGGGTTGTATCTAAGAACCCAGGTTCTGTTTTTATTAATTGCTCACTTGCTCCTTAGCTCAGTTATTTCTTCTGCTCTTAGGAATGGGGGAGGCAGTGGATCTGCAAAGTTCCCTACAAACCTGTTGCTAAGTGACAGCCTCACACACTCCTGGGGAAAAAATGGTCCTTCATTTGTATGGTCAAAAGATAAATAACAAGCCTCATCCAAATATATTTCAACAACCAGTCTCCTTCCATCAACATAAATGAAGCAACCTCCGTTTCACACCACCCTACTTGCATATGAGCTGGTTCCAACTGCCGGCTTCAGATGCAGATTCATGGGCCTTCTGCAACTTACTTCTGAAGATTACAGAGGAAACAAAAGGATTATAGGAAGATGTAAGTTATAGAGACAGTTTGTTTCCCTGTCTCCTATGTGCACAAATGTGTCGGTCTTTGGTCTAAATCCAGGCACTCCTGTGAAACACCTTGTGCCAAATTCTAGGAACCTGCATTCACCTGCGTCTTGCAGTACTTGCAGTCCCCTATGAGAAACACCCACACCCACAGACAGTCCGTATAGGTTGCTCAAATCCTGCAGGCAGACATATTGCAGGCTATACAAGAAGTGACAGTTCTAAAAGAATAAGGGGCCCCGTTTCTAGCTGAGCATTTATTTTTACCACTCCTGAAAGCCTTTGCTTAAGGTTTTAAAAACGTCGTTTAGCTTTTTTTTTTTTTAATTAAGTTATTCACATCTGGCAGGTAACTTTCACGCCACGGTTTCTTCATCCCAAAGTGAAACGCACTGAAAACGCATTCTGCTGCTTTTCACTTGCGCTTTTTGCGGTCTCTCTAGATTATCTTCTGCTGCCCGATGACCCGAGGTGGGAAAGATGGAAAAGGAGTCCGTACGGGGCGCAGAAAGGCGGAGAGACGTGAGGAACGGCGGCTCGACACCCCCAGCCGTGCCTGGAAACCTCGGCGCAGGGCGAGCGCCGGCGGGGTGGCCCCCGGGCTCCCTCCAGCCCCCACACCGCAACCCGGCCGCCGAATCGCCCGAAACGAAACACCCCGCTTGCCACCATTTCGCTGGGAGCGGGGTGTGTGTGTGTGTATGTGTGTGTGTATGTGTGTGTGTGTGTGTGTGAGAATCTCCTGCCTTCACCCGAGGCACGGCGAGAAGAGGCAGAACCGACAGACCGCCCGGAGCGGCGCGGTCGTCCCCCCCCCCCCCCGCTTTTCCTCACGAAAAGGCGGGGGAAAGGGGCCAGGACCCCCCCACCCTTTCCTCCCAGCCCACCGCGGTTGGCTCGGAGCGAGTGTCCGTGTGTCCGTCCCCCTCCCCCCCCCCCCTTTTCTCTCTCCCCACACGGCGGGCGCCCGTTTCGCGCCGGCCCAACGGGCGAACCCCAGTAGCGACTTACAGCGCGGCCTGCCTGGCGGCAACACGTCGGTCTGTCTCCCGGCGGCAATACGCCTGTCTGTCTATCGGTCTGTCCGTCTGTCGGCCGGCGGCGGCCCCGCTGCCTCCGCTCCGCCCGCGGGGCCAAACGGGGAACGGCTCGACGGGCTAGCGACGAGCTCCCACAATGCCCCGCGCCCGCCGCGCGTCACATCCCTCCCTCCCTCCCCTCCGCACTCCCCGCGTGGCCCCGCCCCACACGGCGGCTGCCTCGCGCTTCCCCCCCCCCCCCCCCAGCCCCTCACGGCAACGACGCCGCTCTCGGCCCCGCTGTGAGGGGGATGGACAGACGGACACACGGCGTTGGCCCGGCCGCCGTGCGAAGCCTCCTGCCTCGCCTAGACCCGCAGCGCGGGCTCCCGGCTTCCCTCAGGCGGTGGGGGGCTGTTGAAAAGCCCCGGGCCCTGTGTGGGGCTGGGCCTTGGCACCGCGTCTTCCGCAGCTGCCGCTGGCTCCTCGCTGCTGGCCGGGCCATTGTGTGAGGGCGCATTCGCTCCTAAATCTTCAGCGGCGAGGAGGACAAAAGCGAGGAGGGGGGGGTGTGTGTGGGCGGTTAGCGCTGCCTTCCTCCCGAAATGGAAGTTTCTCCTTCAGGGAGGGAAGAGAATGGAGCGGCTGAGTTGTTACAGCTAGTGCAAGGCGTACACGCTCGCTCTGCTCGCCTTGCGCCACACAAAAATGGCTTGCTGCCATTTTAGACAGGCCCCAGATGGAGCTTTTGGAGGAGTTTCTGTGTGGGAGACCGGGAGAGGGGGGGTGGTCCTCCCAGCCCAACTTGCTGGGTTGCTGCTGGCCCCAGCCTGCACGCCCAGGCGACAATCGGAGCGTGAACCCCCTCACTGCCCTCTCTCCAGTCTTCTTCCACTTGCCTTTGCCCACCAGCTGCCAGTGGAACAGGGTGGCTGCTACAGCGGGTCTTGGCTCCAGGACAGACAAGTCATGACAGATTGCCTCTGCATTTACAACGGTGGAACTAGAGGCAGCTGGGGTTTTGAATCACATGGAGGACTCCTGGTTTGGTAATGCTCCCAGACCCTTCTGCTGCTCCCACCTGAACGGAGCATCCCCATTCTTAAGTACCCAAAGTGGGATGCCAGCCCACCACCTCTTCCCCAGTGTCCCTTGCTCTTCTTTCATGGCTAGAGCTGTGACAGGTGACAGTGGCTTAATATCACTGCAACTACCAACAGCTAGTAGAGGAAAGGAGTTTCTCTCCTGCTTTTCTCATCAACCATCCTGAGCTCCAGCTCTCCTTGTTTTGCTCAGTATCAGCACGTATTCACAGTACCTTTGTCATACAAAATAGAAAGCAGAAAGGAAGAAAATGGTTTAAAGGAAGAATGGAAAACGTGGAACTGGGGACAGCCTGTATAAAACACATGGGGATGCTCTGAGACACATCCCTTCAAAAAGTGTGACTGAAATAAGGGGCGAGAAGATGTAGCATGCACAGGGGCTGCGTGCAGTGCATGTGGCCTACAAAAGCCATGTCGTGTGCAATTCCACTGCCCAAGCTCAGGCAGTATAACTGCGGTGTCCTCATCCATTTAAATGGCCAGGTTTGCTCTGTTTTTTAATGCAGCTAAACTCTGCATCTCCGAAGACATCTCTCATTAGGGTTCTGTGCAGCACAAGGTCAAATGCAACTTTGGTCTGACTGTGCTAATTGTAACCTGAATGCTATTGAGACACACAGTTTTGCCTAACAAAGACTCCCTGCTAAGTAAAGTACCCTATAGCCCCTGATCGCCCTTAACCCAGGGATATGGATACAGCACTTATTAGGCCATCTGGCATGGCTCTTCTTACACAGCTGAGGACACACTCTACTTTCCCCGTGTTCCCATCCACCCACACCACCTCCCTCCCACCTTTTCCTCCTCCTCTGCGTTCACAGCACAGCGGAGCTCCGCTCCCTTTTTCCTTGCGAGCAGTGCTACCCACACAGTAACCCTTCCCACGTGCTGTGTAGAGCACCAAACAGAACTGGTCCTGCTTGGCTCTTCCCACTCCGTTTTGCTGTCACCCACACAAGTTTTATTTAAAAAAAAAAAACAAAACAGCAAACCAACAACAACCCCCAAATATTGCTGTTGACACGATGAGCTGCAAAGGCCTATGTGGAATTTTAAAAACCCACAACATCGTCTAATGGGGTTGGTACAAGCATACAAGGTGAAGGGAGCTGGCCTACAAAGACAGATAGAAGGAGTTATCTGAGAAACCAGTGTAGGTCACTTTCTATGCTCTTCTACTATCATTGTTCATTTTATCTGCTTTTCAAGAGGATTCTCTGGATTTTGTGCTTTTGAAGAAAGCCTTTGAAACACGAGTGGTGAGAATTTCTGGAGTGAGAGCTGCCTGAGTTTGCAGAGGGCCTGAACAATTTGTCCATGGAATAGGATGCTAGCATGGAAACTGCAGTTGGTCATTTGAATGTTAACATTGGCTAGCTCAGCACGCACCAAAGCACAGATATATCATACTGGATCTGCAGAGAGCACCCATTTTGAAAGCACACAGTGTGTCACAAATGTCTAAAAGGGAGCATTGCTTACAAAAGTCTGTGAAACTACACTACATAAACTACCTCACTAAAACAAACCTTGGCTTAGATTTTATTCCCTTTGCCAGTTCAGTGATGTATTTATTTATATACAGAATGATAAAAAGCACCTTTCCAGAGCTTTGCTGTCTTTATGATTAATATAAACAGTTCATGTTCTTACATTCTTGTATTCTTACTTCATTTTGACACCCTGACTCTGTAATCAATTTTAGCAACCTCAGGGGACTATTTGCAGAAGATAGTTCTGAGTGATTGAGAATATAAACACCTAACTTGTTTATGTGCATAGACGGCAGAGAAGGAAATATTACTTGGGAGGGGGCAGAGCAGCGTGGGAAGGGTTGTGGCTGATGGTAATCCTCTTAAACTTCGATAAGCGTGTTCACTTTGGGATAGCTATCTTAATTCTGAATGCGTCACCTCATTTGTCATTGGTGTTTATTTGTCATTGTGTGTTTATTGGATATTGAGAATGCATGCCCTAGGTTACTTCAGTTTGCTGAAATATCTCTTCAGGATTTAGTGTGCCCAGCCAGCAGATCCCTGCTCTTTTCCTTCCACCTTCACATGGTCAAAAGAAAGTACAGATTCCTCAGGCACAACCTGCTTCTCTGAAGGGGCTGTCTGAACCTCCTTCAGCTGCTTAGCCTTCACTTTTTGCAAACTCTATGACTAATCTATGCTTCAGTTAACTCCTTACAGTCAGGTTACACTCACATAGATGTACCTGTAACATGCATAATGCTGTTGACATTCTTGAATTCTCCATCACATGGGCACAGTGACCTCGTACCAAATCCAGCCAGTGTTCATCATGCTTTTAATGAAACCTGCAGACCTAGTGTCTGTACCAGCAGAGTATTAACTGTGATTTTCAGAGGGCTGACACTGGCCTTCCTACAGATTGCTGTATTCCACCGGGGCTGTTACTGTATTGAGAAATTACACAGTACAGTGTGGGACAGGTCTTAACTTTACTCTGGATTCCAGCCACCATAAAAGTATGCAGCTTCCCCATTATTCCAAATTAGCTCATCAAGATTGGGAGCTTCTGCAAATGAGATTGACCACAAACTGATGCTGGAACCATGGTGTGTTTTGATACCCATTTTGTGCAGGTTCGAAGTCATTGATCTTAATAATCCCTTTTTATCTTCATTATCTAGACAAACAGCGAACTGCAGTTTGACCTCCATCACACTTCAAAACCCGACAGCTGACTTTAAGTGAGCTGCTCTTTTACACTCAGCCTTTATCTATCACAGGTGAATAGAATTAATTCCATTTTCAGATAGTCACTCTTTGCTTTGACATCTAACTCATGACAACTGTGAGGATATTCCCCCTCTTTTGAACATGGAAAACAATTATTTGTTCCTGCCTCGGTGTTCTCAAGGCACTGCCAACTCTATATTAATTGTCAGGCGCGGTGTTCTGTAGCAGAAGTGCCAACTGGTGCTATGTTACAGTGAGATTAATATTTCCAGGGCACAAGAAGTGGATGTCTGGGATTCATTTCCCAGGCTGGTAGACAGAGATAAGTTAGTACAGATAATTTACTTATTTTGTTCCACATTTTTGTAGGCAGGCTACCTCTTATTTTTTGTCCAAAAGGGAAATTTTTGCCAACCAACTTTTTCAAATATGTATGCCATTTTAGTAATTGCTTCTTCTAGAAAAAATCAACTATGGACATTTTTATCAGTGCTTGTGCCCCCTATTAAAAAAATGCTCAATTGCTTTGAAAATATTTTGAATAAATTGTCACTTTTTTTAAAGAAATGTAGGCAAGCTTTTTCCATTTTAAATCTGGCAAATGAGAGCCACTATGGCAATTGCACTTCTTAACCCAGGTTGTGAAGTCGTTTGTTCAGCTAATGGATGCTGTGACTCAAAAAAATGCCAAAGTCTGTAAAATTGTAAATAATCTGTAGATTAGGGATAATATTAGCCTGCAATATAGTGCATTTCAAAACCTCTTTCTTCCAAATAAAACCTGAATGCTGTTTGGAGTTACAAAATTAGTCGCCCAACAGCAGTATGACACAGTGACATCAGGAAACGTAAATGCTTGTTTCCCAGCAATCTGGAAGAAGCATGCTCTAAAATAAGACTGAAGCACCCTGGAGCACCCAGAGAACAGGCACCCTTCCCTGCCTCTCGTGTAGTCAGCTCTGAGCATAACCTGATTCCAGGTTGTGCATTAAGCAAAGCAGTTCATTCTCTTCTGGTATTCAAAACTGCCTCTTGCATGACTGCATTTTTAATGTCAAGTGGCTGGGGAAAGTTCTGTGTTATTGTGCAAAGAAAGTATTAAATCTAAGAGCTATGGTTTATATTATTAAGTCAGGATTCAAAATTACATCCCATGATGATCTGCTCAATGGTTCCTGGTAGCTGGTGAAAAGCTTGGCAGAGAGTCATGTAGTAATAACTCATTTTTCTTATTTTTAGTTATTAAATCCCATTGCTTCCCCAACATTAATTTTCCATGTAAGCAAGAGATATAGTTGCCAGAGGGATTTTATATAATTGCAGATGGTAGGAGACATAGTTGGTAATTGCAGAAA